GGGGGGAGGAGGAGGAGGAGGAGGAGGAGAGCGCGCGGGCAGGGCGGGCGGAGCCGGAGGGCGAGGTCAGTCACTGTGGGCGGGGCTTCGGTGCGTGAGGCGGTGGGGGCGGGGCTCGCGTGACGTCACAGAGGGCGGGGCCGGACACGCGTGGGCGTGGCCCCCCCAAATTGAGACATCGGGGCGGTGAGAGACCCCTCCCCAATTCATACGGGGACAGCGACCCCTCCCCAGTTCACACGGGGACAGTGAGAGACCCCTCCCCAATTCAGGAGGGGGAGGGGCGAGAGGGTCCCGCGTTCCTCCCCCGGTTTTCACCGACCCCACTCACTCAAGATGGCGCCGGCCCCGCGCCCTCCCCAAGATGGCGCCGCATCACGTGACCCCGAGCTGGGCCCCCGTTCCCCACCCCCCCCCAAAGAGAAACACCGGCGCCGCTTCAGCCCCAAAATCGCCTTTATTTGACCCAAAACCGCGCCACGCCCGCCCCTCCCTGCCCCGTCCGGCGGCGCGCTCCGTGCCGAGGCCTCGTCCGGGGCGCTGCGGAAGAAAAAGCGGAGTCAGAGCGGGCGGAGCAGCCCCGGTGCCGCGGGAATTGGGGACCGGGGGCAGCGGAGGCCCCGGGGCGGCGGCGGCGGCTCAGGGCGCTGCGAGTGTGTCCTCACGGCGGATCGGAGCTTTTGAAGCGGTTCCTCATCGCCGCCGCCGCCGGGGGGACGCGGGGGGGTCACGGAGCTCTTACCGGGGACACCGCGGGGCCGCCGCTCACCGGCACCTGCAAAGCGCGGGGGGGAAAAGGGGGGTGAGAGACCTCGGGGGGACCCCGGGGGGCTTCCCGGGAGGGTCTGGGGGCGTCGCTCAGGCCTGCGGTGTCCTCAGGGGGCTCGGAGACTCTAGTCTTTGGCATCATCACCGCGACAGCCTCAGAAATAAACCCAGAACCCCCCAACTCCTCTCCCAAGAGCGCCCCAATCCCCCGAGACCTCCAAAGCCGCTCCAGGACCCCCAATCCCCCCTCAGGACCCCCAATCCCCCCTCAGGAACCCCGATTCCTCCTTCAGGAACCCCGATTCCCCCTCACGACCCCCCCTCCCCCCCCCCCCCCCCCCCCCTCCC